ATCATTTCTAGATCTCTATTTAAAATAGAAAATATCCATTTTTGAGGTGTGTCAACATACTTTCCGCGGCGACTGTAACTCAGAACTGTGAAATAACAAGTTTTCTCTTTGAAAACAGCCCAAATGTTCAATTGAGAACACAATAACAGTTTTCCATAAAGCGTTCGAACATTTCCATGAGCCATACTTCAAACAATCCTCGCAGCGTCATCGTTTCATCCTTGAACGACTCCGTGAAAGCGCAGCGAAATAGCCAGAAGTAACATTTTGCACCTTAGAAATTATAGCATCATCAATCCCAGGACATGTTAAACTTATTGCGTGAATCTGGCTCGGGATGCGTTAACGTTCAGGTTAACCTCATCGTTAGCCGCGTTAGCCGAAGGTACACATCCGGCTGCAGCAGGTACATCTGAAGCTACCCTCCGCGATTATTGGACTGCCAGTATCCAGCACCCGCGCATATCGGTGCCGAACCCCTATGACGGAAAATAATGAAAGTAATAGGAACACGCCCACTGCATTTAGTCCGCACACCGACCCCTCTGTCCTCCTCCTCCTCCTCCTCCTCCACCTCGCCACTGTCAACCCCTATCCCCGTGTCGGCTCCAACCACCCCCGTCGATTCTACCTTCTCTGTGCGCGACGGTCGCCGCCGCCTTGTTCATTCCCATCCGTCCTAAGCCCTAGTGGCCATTGTACCTGCCACTTCATTGTCCTTTATTTAATTATTTTTCCCGCATTCCGGGCTCCCTTGAATCTCGGTATCGGGGGTCGCGAATCATCCCCCTTTATTTACGGTACCGTAATAACAGACGTCTTAACAGAATCTAATAAACGTCATAAATGCACCTCCCGTGAAGCCATTAGTTTACAGGGATACTTTCTCTTATAATCTACACCCCTTTCGCGTCATGTCGATCCTTTTTCAAGCTCCCGTGGCTGCGGATCCTTATCTTCAGATTAAAGGTACGCGATTGTCGTAATTTCAGATTATTTTACTGTTACTTTGACACTGGAACAGTCAGCCCCGTCAAAATGTCGGATTTCAAGGTTTTTGGTTCATATTGCGAACATTATTAAGGCGCTTTTCGCGGAGTTTACGTTCACTTTACGCCTTTGTGCCTTGATACACAGAAATCTATCAGTATATTAAATTTCTTTATAGAAATTCGTCGGTAGCTATAAATTGTTTAATTAATGAATTTTAACTTAGGGAATCGTTTGTCTTTAAAATTATTGTATCAGGGTGAATGGTTGTGAGATTTAAACCCCTTGGATTCAATAGCTTGCTGTTGTCCTAGGAAAATGATAAACAATGCCAGTTGAAAGTAAATGTTACTGTATATTTTGTTGGTAAAGTAATACGGTAATTCAATCATCAGAAATCGACTGTCCAAAATTTACGGGCGTTAGTTTTTTTCTGCGGTATTCAGGCATATTGTATTCACTCTGATTCCAATTGTTTAATTGACACTTCGTTTCTGCAAAAAAAAACAAACAAATGAGTCAAACATGCAATTAAAATATAATATTTCAGTTTTGTACAAATCAAATTTATCAAATCTCCAATTAAACAAAATTAAACAAAATTTCTGTTATTGGCTTTAGTCAAGGTCAGCCACGTTTCACTCGAAGCAAATATAACCAATAAAAAAGTGGGAAAGGTTTATTCAAAACCAGAGATATATGCAAATGAATTCTAGAATTGTATTTCGAGCAACAGATTATTCCCAAGTGATTTGTCTGTCAAATATCGAATTATACCGAATGGAAATACAAAATAAAAAATAATTTAAACATTCCAAATATCCACATAGATATCAAACAAAAGAATAAACATGAAAATAATTTTACATTAATTTCGAATACATAGATATTCGAATAACATTAACGAAAAGGAAATAACAAATAAACCGACAAACGAAACACAAAATCCAGTGAAACAACCAGTTCGATAAAATAATACTTCGGCAACAGCCATAGTTGGTACAAACGAGTCAAGTTAGAGTTAATCAAGAAGATTAAGATGTAACGTAACGAGTCGCTACGTTACATCTTAATCTTCCAATCGAAGCCCCGACGAGATAATTGAGCGTATACGGAGCATCGAAGGATCACGATTCCCGCTTTTCCTCTCAAAACACTGTCATCGACCATACATTTGAGAATGTGCACCGTGATTTTGCCTCGATAATATGATTATAGACCTCTGCGTCTCTCTCTTTACCACTCTCCCCTGTCTCTCTTCCTCTCTATCTCTCTCCCCCTTCTCCCTCTACCCTTCACTCTCCTCCCTTCTCTATACGCCAACGTGTCTGTACGTGTACGTGTTCGTCTGTTGGACCGTCCTTTTCATCCACCCCCAACGAATCTCGAGCGCCGCAAGGGGGATGAGAACGCCGACACCTCCACCCTCCCTCTATATACGGTTCTGAACCGGGAGAGAGAGTAGCTACGCTCTGCTCTGATCCCTCGCAATTACTTCCCATTATCTGGGTATTAGGATTCACCCCAACTGGAAGCACGACGTGTTCCGCAGACTCCGCCTATGCCAGTGCCCGACCGAAAACGCTCTGCCCGTCATCTCGCGGCAACATCCCCTTTCTTTCCCCAGACATGATCACGGCTCGAGGCCTTCGGCAACAGGTAGCTAAAAACGGCCACCAACGATCCTCTATCCGAACAGCGATTTAAATATCGATCGTTTAAGACGATGATCGCTGAACAGGTTTCGAAATACAGATTTTTCTTCTTCTTCTTCTTCTTCTTCTTCTTCTTCTTCTTCTTCTTATGGTATTTTTATTGTTACGATTGCGAACCTCTATCTGACCAACGATATATATCCATTGTTCTTGTCTGATGATTGCTGACGATGTGATTTAGGAACACTTCAATTGAATAGAGATTTAATGATTTTGTTATGGTATTTGAAATAATGTGTTCTGGATGTTAATACTAACTTTGGAATTGCCGAATCGATGGAAAATGTAAATTTATTGTATAATTCTCTTTTTTCCAGTTGAAAATTATTTAGAACGAATTACAGTTGACACAGATTCAGTTGAGGATCGGGTTAAACTGACATGTACATTTACACATAAAAATTTCAGGTTCAATTCGGGTATAAACTTATTGCTTCCTATGAACATATGGAATTCAGATTCAAAACTAATTTAATTTTGTATTTGCAGATTCAACATATTCCCTGGTTTCTCTCTTATTTTTTTTGTGTCCCGATTGAAATTGAGCGTAGGGTACTTTGCAAAATTCTGACTCTATTAGTATGTTCTATCCATCACCTACAATATTTACAATTTAGATAGAGAATCAAATAAACGACGACGCAGTCTACTGTTTCACCATTGTTATTTTGTACTTTGTCATTGGTTACACGTAACGTTGAATACTAAGTTAGCAATAAAGTTCTTTCCCACTTAACAGGCAGTTCGAGTTTATTTTTATAGCTCCTATATTAACAGAAACTATAATAAAGTTTTAGTCAGTTTCTGCAACTAAATTTGAATATTTTTTTCAATAAATATGTACTCGAAACTATTTCAGAATGAACTTTCTTGCCATTTAAATAAACTAGCGATCAACCGTTTGCATTTTTTTTCACTAAAAGAATGCCAAGTACATTATTAACGAAATAAGTAATTAGATATTTTCAAGCGATAGCGTAGATAATGATCAGCTATTTATTTCTCATCCATCTAATAATATTCCTGCTAATTTTCTAAGCAACGTAGATCTTGAAGGATGATTCACTAATTGATCATGGATAGGGTCGTTCGTTGACGTCGGCCAGAAATTAAGCCGGGATTAACAGCTCGAGTTCTTTAGCTCGTGCGCCACGTTGAGCCTCGAAAATGTCCCAAACGACGAGGAGGAAATGTCACATTGCCAATTAGCGGAATGGTAATGTCCCAGAAACACACGCTCGTCGTTCTTGACCCGAGACGCTATCAAATGTCAATCGTGGTGTGCTTTTAGCCATTAATATAACCATAATGGACCTGCAGTGCAATTACCAAATGTGAGACCAGTACACTTTCCTTATATCTAATAGAAAAAAATGGTTGATCCAAAAATCATGATACATTAATTATCGTTATTATCAAATTGTAGAATTTTATGCATTTAAAGTATATACAGATTTTCAGAAAATTATGATATACACGTTTATGCAGAGTTTAATAGAAAGCCCATTTCTGAAGAAAACAAGACTTTGTTTAATTCGTTTTTTAGTCCTTTGCAAAAAGCTTGCCCATATAAACTTTAACAGTTTAATAATAACCGCTGTGTCGTCTATGTTTGGATAATAAAGCTACTCACATGAGAAAAATTGAAAATTTAGTTAAATAAAATTAATCTGGTTTTAAAAATTCAAGATAATCCTTAAAGTGAGATATTAAATAAAATACTGGCAAATAACTGGTGTTATAAAATTTTATTAGATAAAGAAAAATCTAATTTATTATCGCGTGATATTTCATGAACCTCTTAACCGAATGATTTTTGGATCAAACGTCCCTATTAAAAGTTATTTAAAGTTATACGAAGACACATACTATCAATTTAACTTAGCGTCTGAAAATAATGAATGTAAACATAATATAATTTACTTTTATATAAATATAATAATCTGTTTAAGAACAACAGTTAGTTACAGACAACTCAGGAAGTAAAGTACCGCTTTTGTAAATATCTCAAACGTAAGTGCAGAGAAACGCCTGTTCTCTTGATCATTAATCTTCATAATTGTCGTAATAAAAACAGAAATAAAAGTAAATATAAGAGAAAAATAAAGAGAATTAGAAATTGATTTTCTTTTTTTTCGAACAATTATAAACTAATAGATAAAGCAACAATTTTTGTCTTTTCAGAAGTTTAACGAAGATACATATGTATTCTATAATCGACGCAAATAAACTATAAAACTATAAGAGAAAAAATGATAAGTTTAAAAACGATTTCTTGTTCATTTTTAGCTGCCTGCGAACGCTCTTCTCATCGACGACCAATTAGAAAGGCGCAATTAAGGGAGGCAAAGAAATACACTGTGTTACATCGTGACATTTTAATCCCAACTTGAACCACAGGCTAACTTTCTACTTCGCTATAAAAAGTGACACAAAAACAGACTAGCTTTAATTACGGCATTTCGCTATAAAAAGTGTCGCAGAAGATCGATTAGCGAGTCATTTACACGTTTACACTTTCTACATTCTTTTTTATCGATGGTGGAGTTTCTCGTCGAATTTTTATCTTACACGTCTCCATCGGTTCACCTTCCTCTTTTCTTTCCCTTCTTTTTACAATATCGCTTAAACAAGACTAGTTCGATCACAAATGTCGGTTGGCACTAAAAGTCTCCAGGTATACCGTTTTCCTGATCGCTGATCACTGATCCATTAGCGATTTGTTCAAACAAAAAAGAGGAAACTTCTCTTCTTACAGTTCTATTCTTTATACGTGCAACACAGTCCGTTAGAAATGTATTCGTAATGGAGGGGACGACTTTCTTCGATTTCCTCTTCGAACATTTACATCGCTGTCCATTCTTACAATTATTGACTCGTTTTCATGGAGGTCGACTCACTGTTGCGACGAAATCGCAACAACCGATTCCACGGAACCAATCCAAGGTGTTCAATGAACAATTCCGCTCGTTCGAAGGTAATGGAATCCTCCACAAAGAACTTTCCCTAACGAGATCCCTAATTAAAAAATTAATTGTCTTCGAGGCCCATAGTAACCACCGATTGATCGGTTACCACTTCTCGACTAATTCATCAAAATCTTTGAATCTTACTCGTTACCGTGAATTCTCCTTCAAGTCTCTCGTACCTTCCTATCACTTCAACATCGCCTTCACAGGAACTGGATTCCGCTTTCACTTTTCTATCCACTTTTTTTCACATTTTTCACAATGATCTTCTCCTCCACCCCGTAATCGTATTTCTCGATTAGCTTGTGTCGTTTAGAGAACCGTGCACAATGAGAACTGTGTCATTTCAGCGATGCTGACGTTGCACGGTTTGACCGTGTTGCGAGTGATGGGGCAGAGTGACCGAATGAGGATGCGTCATCTGATGGAAACTCGTCGGCGATCCAACACGTCTCGAAACGTGGATGTTACCCGTCTGCGTCGGCGACGGTGTCTCGTCACCGAGAACGTCGATCTCGTCGTCGTCGGAGTCAACCGGAGCGTCGCTGCTCGCTCGAGATTCTCGGCCGCCGCTCAACGAGAAATCCACTGGCCTCTCTGTAAACAGATTAAACAAACCTTTCCGTTATTGTCTTTCAATAATCGGACCCCGATTCAATTGCTCGTACAATCAAATCAATTTTACTAAGGAAACGGAGATTGAAAAATGGAAGACTTTTTACGGAGGTTGCTTTCTCAACTTTCTTGCATCTTATAGATTCAACGAAATTTCCTTTCTTTCATATGCCTTTCAAATTAATTTCTCACTTAATGAATTGTACGAAAACCTGTGTCACCTACATTATGAGTATCGTAGTGGTCAACACGTTAACCCTTATGTGGGTCAAATATTTACCTCTGAACATTAACAAATTTTTGTATGAATTCATCATTGGGTTGAGTAGGAAGCTTTGTCGGCAAAGTTCTTATGAATTTATAAAATTCTTTCGAGGATTTCATCTTTCTCTATGTGGGCATCCTCTCTTTGTATCGGTTTCAGAGGTAAGAAAATGACGGAACATATATATTTTAGATTGAGAGATAAATTATTCTTCTTAAATAAATACTTATGTTTTCCCTTTTGCCAACAAAACTTTCTCGTTCAACCGAATATTTCGAAAACACAAATCGACATAAATTTTCAAGAAATGGAGATCTGAAGCAATCTCGTTAATCCGAAGACTTGAACGTTACTGTTGAATTACCGAATTATTTTAATTCGAGTTTCTCCGGGATTGGCTCATTTCGGTAATTCATAGCTTTGGTTTAAATTTGCATATCTTGAATTTCTTGGTAATACATGGGTACTCCAACACGGCTATCCTTATATTCTTTGATATAAGTTTCACCAGTAAAACATTTCGTTTAATTGTCTACTGTCAGTGGTTGAATAGTTTCATAATCTAAAGTTTAAAGTTCACAATACACTTTTTTTCGACGAACTTGCAAAGAGAAAGAATATTTAAAACACCAGTATGTCCTCTTTTCAGTTACAATTAACATTTTTCGTGCGTTGATTTTAATTCAAAATTCCTCTGTGAAGTTTCAACCGACATTTTGTAAAATAATGTGAAACATTATTCTGAGTTTCGAAATTACAGCCAACGTTGGACAGTAGTTTAAATAACGTCAAACCCGTAAACACGGTGTAGAACGAGGGAAATTTCGCCGCAGAATATGTTAAAACTTACTGTACGAGTTTACGCAGTAATTACAGACAGCTGGTAGAATTTTAATAGTTCCCTAAATGGAGTACAAAACTTTAAATTGAATCTTATTTGAAAAGTCCGGGATCAATAAAGTAGCTTGAACTTTGACTTTTCAACTGAATAAATAGAAAGACCGTTTCCATTAGACATTACTCCAAGGATATATGTTACTGTACTCTAAAATCATTTTAAATTCATTGAGCAGCACACACTAATTTGTTAAGGAGTATTTGAATTTTCAGATTCTTAACTAAAAATCTATCGTCTTTTAACCTTTATCAATACACAATATTAAATTTGTTCTGAGACTATAAATATATATATAAGTACACTACGGTTATTATGCATGTACGCGTACGATGCAAAGGCTTAATTAGTTAATTTAATTTTGTTGCGATTCTCATTGTATATATTTCAAATATTATTTAAATAGTAGGAACACATGAGCTAATAACAATTTTCTTATGCTACTCTCAGGTTCAAAAGTATTCTCGATAAAATAAAAACGCGACTATTTCGAAAAATATTGAACGTTCAAAATTTTGGTAAAAAAATGAAAACAAAGGTTTGTTAAAATCGAATAGCGTTTCAATTTGCCTATCACCACAGCCAAAACTGGTCAAATTGCAAAATCGTTTGATTCAATTACATCCGATATATACGGTGAACTCCGTCGTTCAAAAATGTTGTCAAGAATAATTAATAGAATATCTATACTTAATAAAATTGGAATACTATATGTATAGTTTGATACAGAGGAGTCTTACAGGTATTTTTACGGACGCGAAACTAAACCTTTCTTAAACTAAACTCTAAGCGGTATATGTGCATCTTCTTCGCCGGCGTCGAGAAATGAAAGAAAAACGGTTATTTGTTTATGGTATACATAAATAACAACTAATAAAAAGCAAAGTCGATGCAATACAATACCAGTATAGAAATTACTACTTAATCGAACGTTTCTTCGAGTTCAATAATATTAAAATTATCCCATACCCACAACCGACAAAATCCTAGAACTATGTACACTCGTCCCTCCATTTATGCGAAGTATCCGTTCCACGTGGGTTCGTTTTAAGCGAATGAAATTCGAGTAAATAGAAACTGTCGATACAAAAGAAAATGAAATATTGGAAAAACACTAAATTTCAATCGCGTATAAACAATACCCTGCAAATGGCGCTATAATCTATTGTGTGCAAAAGGGGGCAGCATAAAACAAGTACCGTACAAGTGGAGGGACGGGTGTATACAAATTCCAACTTCACCAGAGTTTCTTCGCACCAGTCGAAAACCGATCAGAAAGTAGAAAGGAACCATTCAAACCACGATTCCCGAACGGATTGAAAATCGTTTAATTCAATTGGGTCGGATATATATGTCGATATACAAGTAAGGTCCTCGACGGTCCTCGGTGGCTAGGAATCGTGAATGTAGGTCTGGCCGAGCACTTAGCCGATAATTGACTAATTTTCTCGAAGACCGAATCGAGAAGACAAGAGGTAAGACGCGGGGGTTGGTGCACGAGACGTCGGAGCAAGGGGGCGAAGACCAGAAAGATAGACAGAGAATGAGAAAGATGGACGGATGTATGTATACGTTACATGGAAAGGGAGAGAGAGAGAGAGAGAGAGAGAGAGAGAGAGGGAGAGTGGGAGTGGAACGAAGGGGTGCCGTAACTCTCCAGGGTTCCTTAGACGGTATCCGTTCGAGTCTCTAGACGACGACGAGGCGGTCTCATCTTCTACGCGCTTTCCACCCCTTACAACCCCACTTCTTCCCGGCTGCCAAGGAGATGTCTACTAACTTCGTTAGCCCTTCCTACCGAACGAAGCCATCTTGGCTACCGAGACGAGGAACTTGGCGAAGGTTACGAGCAGATGCGCCGCAGCTCGGGAATTACTTGAGATCGTGTCCCCCGTTCGTTATAGCCGGCGATCATTTATGAACGGTGGTTGAAGGAAAGTTTAACTCTTTCGGTCTGGGCTACATTAATTTTTTCCTCTTTCGCGCGAACCCCTTCGCTTGTGTTTTACGTATTAGAGATCCTCGTTAGGATTCCCTTAAACCCTTGCCCTACGATTTCTTTTGTAATAGCTTAGAAATATTTCAATATTAATTATTGACTAGGGGAACAAGGAGCTTCGTGTTTCTTTTACAACTACGATTATTCTAACGATTAGAGGCGAACGTGGTAATTTGCCTCTCCAGTTTGATATTTCTCTCTGAAATTTGATTCGTATTTTAAATTGCTTGAAATTTCGGAAGGTAAGTTAATAAGGTTGCTTCTGACGAAAGGTGACAGCAAAAGGAAAACCATTGAATTGAATTTAATGTGTATTACGAAAGCAAGTCGTTTTTCGAGCTCTTACAAAAATGAGGAAGCAATATTTGATTTTAACTTGAAACAATTTTTGTACAACTTACAGTAAAGTACCTTACACGTTTACTGATTAAAATATAGTAATTATAAAATATAACAATTTAACGGTGTATTTTTCGGATTATTGTTTCAAAGGTAAGCTTCTTCAAAGGTTAGTTCCGAGAAGGAAATTATGCGCCATTAAAAGGACTATAACTTTGATTTTCTACCATTTCGTACTATCTATCTACGTGTAAATTATCGTAATTATAACTAATTGCTATTCTAATTACGTCTTATTTGCACGGTGGAGTTAAAAACACGTTGAACGTTATTGTTTATATTTTAGTGCAATAACTAATATTGCAGTTGTAAAAAAATTCATCAATCAACAATTTTCGCCATTACGAGAAGCTACATGAAATTAATCCCAATATCGAAATTAAATTTCTCCTCTTACGGAATTCTATGATCATTATTATCGCGTTTGGGCCACTGCAGTAGACTTTTTATGTACGAACATATTCTTTTGTTGCCAATATTTAAATAACTCATAAGAATTCGAAAATAATTCGAACGTCTTTAGAATTCGAAGCGAATCTCTCGAGAATTAAAAAATGCGCATTAACGGCAAAAATGGTAATCGAATAACGTAGTTAAAATTCATCGCGAAAATCTGTCGTAACCCAATAGCGGCAGCTGATGGGATCAAGCGATTTTCCGTAAAATTCTCATTTGAAGGCCATGTCCAAAATTTAATGGTCGATTAATCCTTCAGAATACAAAGTCCATGCCAATTTTGTTCATGATTAATATTTTCAATATGTACGAACTGCATTCTGTAACTAAACTTGAAACTATTATACATGAATCATTAAAACTTTGACTAACACATCAATGATACACAATATTCTACAGTTTGATCGTTTAACAAAATTTTACGTGTTCCCTAATTTTTTATCCTCATTGCTTGTCTCCTTATGCCTTGAACATATATTATAATACAGAATTTTAGTATACTAGTTGCAATTTTATACAAAATTTCGTTGAATAGACAAAAAATGCTACTATGTAAATTATTATATAATAACTGACTCATCTTTTGGCGAGAAACTAAATATTAAATTTTATTTTCACGCAGCCACTAAACTAAACAGCGTACAGAACCTCGAGACACTCGAGAAACATAAAAGAATAAGCGCTGCAGTGAAACTTAAAATTATCTTTTATCATTTAATGGTGCATTCGTAAATTATTCATTCTAAGACTACAACATCGCGCATTATATGATAGAAATCAGTGAATTTCTGCGCAATTAATTACGCGCTTTAAGATACTCGGTGGGATATTGTAAGCGATAACGCCGTTAACTCGGATGCGAATTGCGGGATATCGTACGGCAAAAAGCGATCATTATCCAGGCAACCGGTAGTTAATCATTCTAGTCCCAGGCGGGCTCGGTTATGGTCTGGTTAGTTAACTAAAGTTGCGTAATTTATTGTCAGCCGAATTTTGGTTGCATTATATGGTCCATTAGCATGACAACCTGGGGAACTATTTGACGTACACCGAAATTCCGTCGCTGCCCGGCCGCGCTCCAATGCAAATTGATAATCACAATTACGAAGTTTATACTAATAACGATTTAATTGCGATACACAAGCCGCGATCTACTTTTCGCGATTATTATTATAGTTTCGTGCATCCGTTCGTTGGGATATGACTGAGCCAACAAAAGTGGAAGGCTCGATACTTTTTTTTTGCTTAAAATTGCGCTTTTTTCAAAGACCTGTACACTTCAATTAGCACGTTTAATTTGCAGCTTTTGTGCAACTCGGGTCGTTAATGATGGGTATTCGTAATATGTTGTTATATTTTACGGGCAAATGAAAATTGGTGGAATATAAGCAACAGAATGATTTTCATTGACCTTTAACCTTTACGTTCTCATTCTGCTTTTAACAAAAATTTTGTTTTATTTTAAAAGTATGTTCTCGTTGTAGATAATATTATGTAGTAATTTATAATAATACAATAGGTTCACTGACTTAGAATGAAATTGTGAATTTTTATAGATAATCATTTTCGGCCGATTAATCTTAACGTAAAATATCATTTTACACGATAACAAAGTTTCTCATTCGAAATGCAAATAAGCAAGTAGATAGGTAGATACCTGCCATGCTTCAAAATAAATTTTATAATCGATGTTAATCAGTTTTAAAGGTACTGCACCTTAGCAACATTTTTAAAGAACAGTTCTAAGAAAATGAAGGAATTATCAACCACGAGAATGTTAATAAATAAAAGTCCAATATAAGGAACATTCAATAAATGTTAAAACGGAGCTAAACTATCGAAAATAATGGTTACAACTTAGTAGATACTTAATGCAGAAAATATATGATAAAATAGTCAACAGAAACAATAAAAATATTAAATTTACGTTTCGTTTGATTAATCTTCCGACCTAAAAGTCGAACGGTAGAAAAAGAAGTTTCCACGCGCAAGACAAACCAATATGTAGAACTTCGCCCTTTTTTTATCCGCTGTTGAAATTACAAAATATGATTTATGGATAATTGATTATGCAGGACAGATCGCGCTGTTAATCCGAGCTAATTGATGCGAAGCAACGCGAGCAGGCGCGTGTGCACGGCTGTTTATCGAAAAGTCGATACACGTGTTTAGCGGTAATTACGCATTGTGACGCGGATACGAAATTGCATAGGTTCTGCAATCGCAATTAAACGCTTGCATTACCGGGGCGACGGGCGAAAATTTTAAGCGTCATCGAGTTTATAATAGAAGGCTAACTTCCGTTTTATCAACTACTGGCTTCCTCGGAAATCACGATCGCGTGTTTCGCGTGTCTGATCGCGTAACCCGAAAGATTTCATTATAATCGATTCGCAGAAAAGTTTCATTATCAATTCCCACAGAATGACGCGCGCTTTAACATTTTCACTGCCACGTTGTCAGTACAAGAATGTCGTCCGTTTCTTCGTGGCTACAAATCATAATCTATTTGCTGATACACCGAATGAAAGAAATTTTAATTGAGACTTATAGGATTATAAATTTGAAATTCTAAGTTAATGAGGTTACGACGTCGAAACGAGTTAAAGAAACCATCGCTCTGATAAATTAAGTAATCCTATATATTTAATTTGATATCATTGAGGCAACTAAACATTTTGACTTCGTAAAAGGTTAATGAATTATTGGGTGCACCAATGCGTAGTTCAGTATATTTTTTAATACTCTAATAATATATAATCGAATCTAAAAATATAACGTGATTAATAATATGGTACACAATTAAAACACCAACCGATTGTTTCTGTTTTAAAAATAGCAACAAATTACCGAATAAATTAGTTATCCATATACCTAATAGTGTGACTTGCAAGCCCCCATTTGATTCGAAAGATTAAAGACACAAATTAATCTATAAGTAAATGTAATAAATAAAACACCGAAAGAAACGTATAAACGCTGCAGTTAAAATCAACCAAGAAAGATTAGAATAAAAAATTAAATCAAATCGTAATTATAATAAAAACTAACTGTATGGTAAAAACATCTTTTTCGAACTCACTTTATTATTGTTCTTAACAGTAACATCGAAATAAGAGACTGCCTGATAGGAATTTTTGTAAATTTCTTCCTAGCAATGGAATTCTTTAATGCTTCGAAGGAAAAAACAGAGAAGATGAAAAGGAGGTGGCGAACAATGTTTTACTCACCGGCAGGTGACGTGACGGAAACGGATTGGCCAGTACACGGCTGATTGGAATTCTGATTGCTGTTGCTGCCCGTGCTGCTGCTCAATTTCCTCAATTGTTTCTTGTGCTTCATCCGCCGGTTTTGAAACCACGTTTTCACTTGGGTCTCGGAGAGGTGAAGCGCCGCCGCAAGCTCGACCCTTTCCGGCGTGCTTAGGTACTTCTGCATCTCGAATCTTGCTTCCAAACCCGCTAACTGTTGATCGCTGAATACCTAAATAGCAGGAGAAAGGAACAGAGCCTTTATCGCCGACCTTCAATTATATTCCTTTAATGGAAAGCTATTGGACCTTCCAAGAAAACACTGAACGTTTCATGAAAGCTTGGAAGGTATTTCGAGGATACCGGCACATATGTGAGTATTTAATGTTATTTTCATATAAAGGCTAAATACCCATATATGTAGCCACTACTTTTTCCTTATATTTTCATAATTATTTTTAGCCCCCTTTACCTTTTTCAGCTTTTACCTGCTTTAGCTATGTAAAGTGCAATTATTCATACAAATATCTGTCTACTCCCACAGAAATCGTCAATATAATACCAATTTTAAATCAATTGAGCAATTTAAAGCGAAATAACAATCTAAGAACGTCCTTTGTCTATGAAACTCTTAAAAAATTATTGATTATCATATAAAAAGGACGGATTATGTAAACCCTTGTGAACCTGTTGCCACCAAATAATAATGAACGATTACAGAAATAAACAACTAAGTTTAGAAATTACGTAAAAGAATACAGTCTATGATGCTAATAATTAAAAGATCAATAAAAACGAATATGGAAAGGGCGTACCAAGTGTCCTCCATTCTCATGAAGTAATAACACCCAAGATGTGAATATGAAAAATGTAATATTTAAAACAGTGAAACACAGCATAACATGCAGTTCTTCAATAAAACTATTAAAAATAAAAATAATCTAAAGTGATAAAATAATATTTCACATACTAACAACATAAAAAAAGCTGTATTTGATAAGAATGTAACAGTTGAAGATGTGCATCACTCAGTGTGTCGCGCAGTTTCTCTACAATACTAAAAATAATTTTCACTACGATAATAACAAAAACATTTTGTTAAATTTGAAGCGGCCAAATAATTTAATTATACACTACACTGCAGATATTTATGCATTTATGGTATACAAAAAGTTGTAAAATACGAGAGAACATATTACGTCAATAAAAATGAAAAATTAGAATTAATAATACACTTGCGTTATTGTTGTCACAAGAAACATTCTAGGCAATAAAAAAACTTGTCCCTTAATAAGATTTCTCGAAAATATTTCATGAAGATGGTAATTTACATAAAGATCTGCAGTTTATAACATATACAGAGTTGGGCAAAGCGTAATGTGATTATATATAGAAACTAATGATTAAAATACAATTTTTATTCTTTTGCAAGTTCCTACCTGTAATCATTAAACGAATGATACTGAAGTTGATGAAATATAATTCATAATCTTATCAACCATGACATTTGAACCATCTTCGATAAATAGACAACGATTGAATTTCTATACATTCATGCAAACTCTAAAAGTGCTAAATTATACAAAAGGCATATAACACAAGAAAGTATACAAAATATCCAAACTGTATTCCTCTCTGTAATATTTATTTCAGGAAAACTCATTTCGTATCGTATGTATATTCTATTGTTCTAATTTCATTTTAAAAAAATGTATATTCGCATACAAGTACAGTCTACATACAGTTCCGTAATCAGATTGCGTTTTGCCCAATTCTGAAGTTCTGTACAAGTGTCAGATGATGACCACCAGTTCATCGTGTTGTCGCAAAGAGTGTACCGTTCGGTGATTCACACCGCGTCCAAGGTGTAATAAGTAACAAGCACTCACCGTTCGTGCTTTCCGTCGTCGGCAGTGCTTCAAGGCCGCGAGTTCACTAACCCCTGGCACCACTCCGACCCCCATCCCGGTGTTGCCGAAAAGCGGGCCCAAGAAGAAAGCCGCGGTGGGTGGCGCCGACGGATAACCGGGTAGCAAACTGGCGAACTGTTGATAATGCGGATGCTGAACACCGTGATTAGAGGACAGGTGCTGATGGTGGAGCTGATGATGGGAGTGCGGAGGCACGGTGCCCCGGCTGAGGATGTCCTCGATCAGGAACGACGTCCTGTTCGCAGAGGTGCCGTTCTGACCTGGCTGGGCCTGCTGCTGCTGGCAGGTCGACTGCATTTTCGAGTGATTCCTTTTTTTACCTGTGACCGTCGGTGCTCGAAATTCGTTACATTCTCAACACTGAACAATGTCAACGTTTAGTCCCATCACTGATCCTTTGTGCGTCACGTAACACGAACTTTTTCCTTGTAACTTTATCGTTTTTCTTTATCGTTCACTACATCAGATTTACATAACAAAGTTTTTTCGAACCCTACTTGGCTCGTAGAAATGCGCAACTTCTTGTTTTCGTTGTTTCTAATTTTCAGTTGCTGCAAATATGGATTATCGTTTGGACACTATCAGACAAGTGCTCTTTGCCGATCTAACTTGTCACCGATGTTGTAAATAATTAGAATAACACGAGGAACAAATATTTTCTTCGAGAGCATTAGAGCAAAAATCCGGAGACTGTAATGTAGGTTCTTCTACCGCAATCAGGATTCCGATATAGTTTACAAGATTGCGGATTTTACGCGATAACTATGTGGCAAACGCATCCGGAAACCGACTATCACCGTCGGCTACAGAAGAGTTGACTCGTCCTCCCCAGGTGACAGGCTAAATTAATTGACTTGGAGCAATCACGTACCCTAAGTTCGCGATTCATTCACGCATTCCTCTTAATTCCCCCCTCAATATACATGACCCATCAAACTTTTCGGGCACCCATATTCAAAATCCCCGCACAAGTTCACCAAGCACAAAAAGAAACCATCGATCCACCTTTCATTTAACGAGAACTCGCTAAACATCAAGGTCTAAGCGCATACTACCCAAAAGGCAACAAATCCACCAACAACTAAATAAGTTTCATAGGAAGATCGTGAAACGGAAAGCTTCCAGCTACCATGTTCACCGAAGATCCAGTCTACAAGCACGGGTCCACTCGGATGCTGGTTTTCACGGGGAATTCGGTGCGCACCAACCGAAATGATCACCGAAGGAATTCGAGCGCAGTGTTCTTTCGGCCGCGTTCCCCGCGGTTGACCCGGCCTGGGCGTAAGCGGACCCCGGAAGTCGCGTTTCTCGCGATATTCTAATTAAATCGAGCCGAGCCGAAAGCGGCGGCCGCCGGGCGAGAAAGTCCGCGGGCAAAAGTGACCGGGCAGCGATCGTTCGGCGACGTTCAGGGAGTATCGGTGCGCGATATTCAAGGCGATTCAACCCCCCGTCCGCGATCATCTCCACCCTCAACCCGCTCTAACTGGCCAAGAAGAGAGTAAACCTCGGTCCGGATATACGAGCCTCGACTCCCGCCGGTATTGGTCGGCGTCGCGACGCTCGACGTCGCGACGGTTGGCCCCGCCAATCCGACGGGGCGGCACCAAACGGGACGTTGCCATGGCCACCAGGCCGGGGGTGAGCGAATTCTCACCCAGCCACCCCACCGAATTGCCGGTAAAGAGATTGGGAAGGGTTGGTGAGGCGCCAGAGAGGAAGCCGGAGGGTGAAAGGGAGAGGGATCCTCTTCTATATCCGCGAAACCGGCTAGCTAGCTGGCTGACTGGCTGGCCCCCCGTGTTATTGTGCATTCACATTGACGGGCGCACGATAACGGCGTTCACGCGTCCACTTCTGAGGTGACTTTTCCTACCGCTTAAATTGTATTTCATTTTTCCTGCCTACGACCGGCCGCGGAAACCTCCCCCGTATAACCATTCGCAGGTATTCCTCTTCCTTCTTTTTCGTCTTTTGTTTGTACGCTTTTTTTCTGGTTCTTTTCCCGTTCGCCCCTTGCAACGCTTCAATCACTCGGAACCTTCGATTCTGTCGGACGCTTTGTTAAACCCGTGGAGAACGTGGAGGTGTGATTCTCGATGATGGATTTCCTTTGGTCCCTTGGAATATGAACGACGATTAAAGGTTGATGCGTGGTGACCTATGTTTTTAGACAAGATGTGGATTATGGAAAGATTTATTGTACGGCAGGTTGAATGTATTCTTTTTCATTTAAAGTACAACGTTTAGAGTGTCTGTTGTAATTTTTTATATTTGTGGGTAAATGATAAAGTTTAGACTATTCTCTGTAAAGATCTGAAGTCGTTTAGCGTAATGATGTGGTATCAATAGATCCAAGGTAATTAACAAACAGAGTAAAATTTTAAAGCTCAAATTTAATATTCCTTCAGAAGCTCATTGTCAGTCTCAAACAAACCGTGGAAGACTTGCCTTTTCCTTTGTATTTGTCTGAATCTGCCAACTATTTTTCTTCATCTTATCTACTCGATAGAAAATTCTTCAACCTACTTCTCCAATGATATCTCTAACAGCGTAGTATAGATCTCGTATCGCGTCACAAAAATGTATAACATTATGTACACCTGATTCCTGTATCAAATTGTTTGCATTTAATTATTATCGGAACAGATACCAACGATACAATCAAATACCGTATTTTTTAATTATTCAAGTAAACAGTACCTACTTCTTAAAACGTTCAATATATTTTCACTATTTAACCCAAACTACTTTTCACAGAAACCAGGATAGATTCGCATCCACAAAATTTGGAGAGATATATTCGTTTGTTTTTGGCCAACTATTCACCGAAAAATGTACGACAATATTTTTTTCCTCGTGGATATTGATTCTCCGCTCCAGCAGCGAACTGTACGAAAGCTTTCCGCGAGTCAATACATCTGTATCGAATCTTGAAGGGGTAGAGAATGCGGATCAGGAGGAGCAGGAGCACCGGATTAGATTACTTATTGGATGATGTATACAGCACGTTCAAAATGGATGTATCGGTGTACGTCGATGTATCTTCGCCGTCCGCACCCCCCTCGTGCAGGGACTACCTACCTATCGACAAAGTTATTACGGTATCACGGAACTATCTGCCTGGATACCAATTTTATAATAATAATGAGATTAGATCCCTGCAAAAGTTTCTAGCATGTTTTGATCAAGTACACTATTTATTGAAAAAATCTGGTACACACGATACAATCTTGCAATAATTTCACTTTTAACGCTACAACTACTGTATAAGTCGAAAGGACTGATTTGAATTTCTTTACTTATAAATTATTCACATTACACAGATGTTGTAAACTCCTGTAGTTTTTAGGAAAGTTCTTATTAATCATATTAAATAATTGCTAGTGCTCGTGTTAAAACGTAAGTCAGAATGTGTCAGAATACAAATCAGATTAAAATTTCAATTGTCTTTGTAACCGCCACGACAGTATAACTGTGTTCTGTGTTATAATGTAATATAGTGGGCGCTGAAAACTTTTGCATAGACTTGATACTTTATTCATGGGAGGGGTAACATTTCCTTTCCCGCGCAAGAGTAGGAACGCTGGAAATAATGACGGAAAATGTCACTGGTTAATGAATGCAAATAATTTTAAGTAATTCATGTGCGCGTATTTGATCTTTTAAATGAAAAAATGCGTGGTAAAGAAGAAATCAAAAGAGCGATAAAATTTATTGATATCGCAATGATTAATTGCAGCGAATTTACGTATTAAAAGGTTATGAAGTACGAGATTCTCAATATTTATCAGGTAAAACGTCGTGCGCGACGTTTATAAGGTGCATCTTCTATAATTCTTTTCTTCTGTTTCTAAATCTGCTTAAAAAATTCTAATGTTATTATTTTGTTTCTTTGAAAAAATTCAATTGAAACCATCATTGAATAAAATGGCTGTTTAAATTAATCACAATGTCAACGGCTTTCTTACTCTATTAATTTCAGGATTACAATACATTATTCTGGACAGCCAGAGTTTACCCAAATTTATTTTACACTGGTATAGCTTAAAGAAATATAGTTACATTCATTTTCTTATCTCTCACATGTAATGTTATCCTTGATTATTTTATTTCTATAAAAAGAAATTATTCTTCCGAAGAACAGCTCCCAAACCGAATCAACCCAAATTCGAATTCAAAGTCTTCATTTATTGTAAAAATAACTTCCGTTCGCGATAGAATAATTGTATCCAATTGAAACGGCACTGCACTCGAAAAACATTCGGAGGGGGTCCACGTCGTAACCTGTTTAGTAAAACGCACGTATAATGACGCAATCATCCGTAAAGCTGGACCAGTATTCATCCCTTGTATTAGTGGACCTCTGCCACGGTGACGGCAGAAGGGAGAGGAGGCGCGTGCCGGCATTTAGACGGGGTTGCTTCCGCGATTATTGAGTAAATTAACGTCCCGGTAATTGTGTTACCGACGCGTGTCCATTCATCCGTCCCGTCGTTCCCTCGATGGTGGTCTAGAATCCACGGACAGACCCCGATGGCGATGGCAAAGCCGAAAACCCGTCCGCAAGCTTAACGTTGCTGAAACTATCCCTACGGTGTTCCAGAAACCGCTTCCCGACGACAGCCGGGGCTAAATAAACCCTCGAGAGACTTGTTAGACCAAAAATGAGCAAGATATTCCACCTTTTTTCTTGTAGGGATCCAACGGGATGATAATCGGCGGCGAATGTCCACGCTTGGTTTACATCCCCTAATTGCCGCTATCCAAAGATCCTTTAATAGATCATTTTTCAAATTACTTTCCCTCGGACTCTTTTTTATCTTTGTAAAAACGTTTCAAACAATTCGGTAAGTTTCAATAAGATTATAACGTGAAAAAAACTAATCACGCGTTATAATCATTGAAATTACCTTTGTTCGAATTCTCTTTTATCTTGGCAAAATCGTTTCGAATAACTTCATGAGTTTTAATGAAATTACCTTCGCTCAGATTTTCTTTTATTTTTGTAAAAATGTTTGGAATAACTTGGTTAGGTCTAGTGGAATTATAGTGGTTGATTAATATTCTCATGACGTGAAATCAGTATTTTAAAAGACGGTTTTCGAAACTTTTACGCTTTCTGAATTGGACAAGTGCTTGCAGTTATTTATATTTGATAGGAATCCTTACTTTCCGAAAAACTGAAACTGAATTTCCTGTAAAAGTAGTGGATTATTTATTAGTGTAAAGTGCACGAACTTTTTATTCTTCTAAGTGTACAATGTACTACATTTTATGATACTTTTAGAATAACATTAAATATTTTTATAGATAAATTAAAAACATAACAATTAGTATATATAAATTTATTGCGTATAAATTATTATATACTAATAATTTACACACACTTTTACGTTATAAATCTAACAATTACTGTATAATGATTTACATAATACTTTAATCTATTTTTGTAACTTTCAAAAAATATTAGAAATACAACGTTATCTCCGTTTGGGTAATACAAAGAATGTAATGAAAAAAAAACAGAATGGAAATTGTCTCGTAAGCATCTCGAATAAAGCAAAAGTATGTTATTTATAATTAATATAAAAATACATTCTTGTGATACATGTCACATGTCACATCACGAAATAACATAAAGAAAAATATTAATGTTTAATTATATTGTGACATATTATTAACGTAAATAATGATATTGAAGCATTTGATATATTCCTTCCATACCTTCTATACTTAAGTAATTAATGAAAAACTAATGATATAGTTTCCCGTGAGACACCCCTTTATGCACGTCAAAGAGTTCGAAAATGTCAGGTCTTTTAAGTATAAATCTCGAGCCAAGCTCGTTTTACAATCCATTGAAACTCAACACATTGTTGCGATATTTATTTATACTTTAGAACTTTGTTCTTCCAATTGTATTTTTTTAAAAACGTAAACACACAGAGTCATTGAGCTTTGGCAGAATATACTCTCGTGAGATCACTTCGAGAGTTGTTTTGGCTATCAGTTAAACAAAAAAAAATAAAGAAAAATGACGACCATAGTATCGGAACGACTGTAAGTGGAAGCAATGAAATATTTTATGATGCTTTAGCTCGCTTTTTATTCTCGCCTCCTTTTTTCTTCGAGGACTTTTTTGCAATTTTCTCATAATTGAATTTGCAACCGCGTGGAAAACTGTTACAAAACTTAATAGCGGAAAATTATTTGAAAACGATGAACTAAGGAAATGTTTTGATTCTTTACTGCGTTTTTAATGACCTTTCGTGATCTCTTTTAAAAGTTAATGACTAACTATCGAACAATAAAAATGATACTGCCTCGATTATAATCACAAATCGATCTCAAGGTAAATACTATAGAGCACTATAATTACCCGACGAATTGTTCCTAGACGTTGTTGTAATACTCGAGAAGGTTTATTTTCTCGAATAAGTTTATAAACTAAATGCTTCTGTTACTATTACGACAACCAGACAGTACATTATACAGGCGGTCAACTGTAATTTAGTGTTCTTGTGATAGTGTAATAGCAAATCTTTCTTAACTACGCTCACGTACAGCGGTATCGAGAAATGCGTTTAGCAGTAGAAATATCCGTAACGAAAGGGTTAAATGTATTTCATCGTTGGACTCGTGCATCCCATGTTAAATTCAAACACTTTATACGGACCTAAATGAGCTCCGAGACTACACTGTTTCAAATTGCTGTAATCAGGGATGTTTCGAGGTAGATATGAAAAACACTTTTCCGGTTGTTCAGAAAATATTACCGGTTTGTTATATAGGTTAACCATTGCTTCATTTACAAACGGTGCGATTTTAGATGAAAAAATAAGTCAGGAATATAGAATAAAATTATTTCTTTTAAAAATGTATTTTCGTGAAAATCAAAAGTGAATGTCATTCTAAGTAAATACAAGTGGTACAATTGATAAGGAGTGACATTGCATGACAAAATTAATAATTTATATATTGTTATATTTATATATTATAATATCTTAAAATAAAGTAAGTTTATTCTATATTTTCCTCTTATTTCCCCTGTAAAATCACCAAATGTTTGCATGGAATACAATGGACAATAAGCAAGAAAACTTTTTCTTTAAAAAGCACATCGAAGTATAGGTGTGCACAGTTTAGTAAGTGCTGAACGTCCTCAAAGTGTGAAACTCTTATTTTAATACTCTGCATGTTTAAACAAGTGTTTTTAATTATTGAAAACACAGTCGCGGAGGTTATATCAGTCAGCTGATCTCACTTGTGCCTTCTTCTACTTTTGACGACTAGATTTAATCAAGAAGAATGAACGCGTTAGATGTCTTCCTCGTTAGTAGCTCTCTTGTAGAAAGCTCGGGAGAAGCTCGCTGGTCCTTGGGAACCGCAAAAGAAGAATCCGCGACGCCAAAGGACGAAGAGGGTTAAGCAAACGGGAATGGCCAGCAGCAGGCCGATCAACACTCCGATGAGAATCGTCGCGTCTTTCTCGGGTCTTGCACCGTAAATGTCCAAGCAACGGAGCTTCCGATGAGCCAATGACGTCAGGTTCCTTCCTGCGTGTTCTGGTGGCGCTGAACAGGTAAGCGCGTTAACGTTGTCTCCCATTAGTCTCTTTCCTTCCTTCGGTAGCAACGTTCCAATCTGTGGATAACGGAATATTATTTGAATGCTGGCCACCGTATTTTCTGAAGGATTTTTTCAATTTCTTTTTTCAATTTCGCTGTTAATATTGTCTACTAGTTCTAGTATGCAAACTGGTGAAATTAAAGGAAAAAACGGTCATTCAGAGATATGAATTAGTAAATGATATTTATCGAAGCTGCTCTCAACGATATGCGTAAAACTTTTAAAGAGAAAGGGATTATATTATTAAATACAATTATTATTATTAAGGGATTATTATTATTAAATATTAATAACACCTAACTCATTTAATCATAGTGTATTATATTTATAAATGCCAAATATTATCACCTTAGCAATTCAAATCTGTAGAAGGTATTATAATTCAGTGAAACAATTCAAAAATTTCCATAATACAAAAGCATGAAAATGATCAGGATAATTACTTTGGAAAAATGTTCAAAATTATCTTTAGGTTTTCAGAGAGTCAATTGCATATTCTCGTGATATATTCCTATGGCTAACTGAAATTATCATTTCAATATTTTCAATTTACTATAAGTATAATATAAGTATACTTTACAGTTTAAATGGTTCTCCGTGTTCTTAAACTAAGAATATTGGAAAATATGACCTAGAATTATACAATCTCTTCATGATCAAAAATTTTATTTTTTCGATATCTTTTTATGGAATTAAAATAGCGTCCGCGTGGCTCAAGTTATTTCAGTCACCCCGTATACCGTGATTGCCCGAACTTACCAGATATTGATTATTGCAATCGCAGCTCCATTTGTTGTTCATCAGATCCAATTCTTCGAGCGTGTCCCATGACGCTCCCACGAGATGTACAGGCAAATATCGCAGTGCGTTATCCGATAAATCCAGTTTCTTCAGTGGCGGCCAATCGGGTTGCTCGGACTCCTTCGTCTACGATCATTTCAAGCCGAATAGCCTTTAAGATCGAACCTTTCATTCAACTCTACCAATTCCCCGCCATTTTCCCGCCTCAGCCGTATCACGACAATACTCGCCCCGTTCTAAATTACGACTTTATTATATTCCACGTAATATTGAAGCAACGTGCACACAATACACTGCCTCTCAATTTTTAGTACTACGTTCACCATTGAATCATGTAAATAAAATTGATTATGTTTGTCTCTGTACAAAATTTAATATGATTATATTCGCACAAGAAACATAAAAATATTTTACTACAGAAAAATAGCGATGCATTGAAAGTATTGATTAAACTGGAATGAAATATAATGTTGAAATTAATAAGACTAAGAAACAGAACATTTTTTCGACGTAATGTATTGAATTTAGTTCTGTTATGTTCAATTCTGTGTATTGAACTGTCTTTTCAAACTCTAGTGAAGAAGATTGCGAACTCGATGCTTGAGACTAACTTATGCGAAGGCTAACACGTGATAGTGTCAAGCCTATTGCAAGAAATATTGAATCCTCGTCAAACATTTGTTTAACGATTAAGGGCTTCGTACCAAAGATAATCTTGTTTTTCTTCCGGTAATATATCTGTGGAAAATGTATTTTTCAGCTGAAATATTCTACAACAATCTTTTCCCATAGAATTGAACTCTGTTTACGTAAATGCATGTATATCATTTTAATATTACTGCAATACCTATTAACCACGTAACTTCAGAAACTTAAGAGAAAAATTTCATGGATTTCTCACTGTGAACCAAGTCCCTTATTTATTTTTAAAACAACTATTAACTAATCCTGAATTTACTCCTTGTGGTCTACATAAAATTGTAAAACTGCAAGTGCTTCTGTACTTTTTGAGACAAAGGACATTCCTTCATTTCGTTAACACTAAAGCTACCATGCGCGTCAAAATGGCGGATTTCAGTTATCCTACTTCGCAATTATTGATATCTTAAAAGTTTTAAATATCCGAAATGAGTTTAAAAATAAATAGTTTCACTGGTATAATATACTGAATATACGAAGAAACCGAGAAATCTGTTGTTATGATTTTTATAAAGATTACATATTTATCAGATTAAACGGTCGATAGTTCTAGTGTTAAAACGAACCCTCAAATATCAACAAACGGAAAAGATATTCTTAGAACTTTATCTTTATCTAAGAAATCGTGATTAGCTAGATTCTAAAGTGACGAAAATCCTTAAACAAAGTAAAATATGTGTACCTCAGATGCAAAGGCGTACTCATCGATTGTTTCCAATTTCGGGCAACTTTGTATACGCAGATGTTCTAGCGAGGCCAAGCCTGAAAATCCACCCTTTCCTATGACCGTCAAATGTGGCATACAGCAAAGACTCAGCTCTTTCAGCTTGGACATGTTCGGAAACGCATGCTTTTGATTGATAACTTGGATTGGGTTTTCATCCAGGTAAAGATACTCCAGAGACTGTGCCTCGTCCAAAATGACCGGAGGCACGGTAATTTGATTGCCACTTAAGTCCAATTTCTTTAGGTAACTAAACAAACATATGTAAATTTATTGAAACGTCGGAAAAAAGTTAAAATCATTTTCGTTTACATTTTAAGATATGCTAGATAAACCAATAAGTAATCTATTAGATGTAAGTTACGATGAAGGTAAGTGTATAATTATTTTCGTATCTTATTTAATGTTACTATTTTAGGATTTTAATATTCCACATTTCGTTTTATCATGAAGGTCAAGAGCAAGCTTAACCAGCTAGGCAGAATTTGATTCGGACCTGTTTCGTGAGTCATCGTTAATATTATAAAATTTCATGTCATAATGTAATCATAATTTATCGTTATATCTCGCGATTGGCAAATATGGTTTCTATTCGAGTTTTCTTCCTATAAAAATACCTATTCTACACATAACGATATCTATTTCTCTTATCAACGCGTTCGGATGTATTGAATCAGTTCCGTCATTACATGAACGTGTAAGTAATCCATTGCTCTACGTTTCAATATCACAATCGATTGTAAAACTGAATAGACATCGATGAAGATATTACCCGGAAACCAAAAATGTTCGAAATAACCGAGCGCACTAGACATTTTCACAATATTTTGCTAATTATAAACAATCCATGATACTAAAAGAAATAAATAAAACATCTTAAATTAACATAAATCGAATTATAATTAGTTTCCAAGAGTCAAGAGGTTTTGTTTCCTCGTATTACATTTTTTTCAGTAATTGTTCGAAACCTTTGAACACAGAGTTGAGGAGCACGTCTTAAACATTGTATATTTAAAAATCCCACACTGTTGTCTGATTTCTCAAGAATTGTTTTTTAATTGTACTTCCTTCTGCGACAATAACAGAACATTATATATATATATATCAAATACTTCACAAGTAAACGATTTCTGGTCCTGTTTTAGATTATAGTATACTACTAATAAAAATCATTTAACCACTTTTTTTTACACACATCGTTTAAAATATATAACGAAATAAAATAAAAGATACTATCATTGATTATTAGTTTATAATCGTTTCATTATCACTTTCCCCAAACTTTTCTTAAACACCCGATATATAGAAGTCTTACCTCAAACTATGAAGCATAGTTTCTGGAAGTGATTTTAAACCACAATAACTCAGGTCCAACTCCTCTAATCTCAATAAACTGACAATTGCTAGTAAACTGCGAGTATCAATCTTCGCAAACAAGTTGTGAGACAAATCGAGTACTTTAATGTTCGGAACGTGTTCGAACAGATCCTGATGCAAGGAATGAATACTGTTATAAGCCAGGCTCAACCTTGTCAAGTTTATTAATGGCTCGTAAGCAATCGTTGAAAACTTTCCCTATAAGTATTAAGTATTAAGAACTAACAATTCAGAACAGAAATATAATATAAAAGAAAACGTTGAATTAAGTCAGAAATAATTTCTCTCTCAAACGGCGAAAATTAATTAAACTGAGGATTTGTGTGAGTAAGAATTTTTCAGTCCAACGATAAGTATACTCAAATTTACTACAAATACAAGTGTAAATGAACTGATAGTTAATTTTATGATTTATTTATGACTCAATCCACTAATTTAATTTAGTTACGATAGTTGAAGTAATTTTGTTAATCCGTGTGCATAACGCCATTGATATTTTGTAAATCACATTCCATAGGAAAAACAGTAATAAAATCTACTAATTATCTCCAACGACGAAATTTATTCTGACGCAGCTAGCACAATAAATTTCTTCGTAAACTAAACTGTTAAGGTAACGATTATGAGTCATGAAAGATTAAGTGTATGGTTTATGATTGTGATCGTTCAAGAGATATTTTGATGTATTTTAATGTATGAAATAATGCGGTTAGTACATCGATGGAATGTCTTTTAATTGATTTGAATAATTTTATCGATAAAATTACCTGAAATGCATGAGGATGCAAATTCTCTGCAGTAAGATTGTTGTGACTTAAATTAAGCTCGGTGAGATTGATTAACTTCATAAAGGTACCATCATCGATTTTATTGATCTGATTATTCTGCAGGAACAATTTCTTAATTCCAATTTTTGGGAACGGCATTAAGTGCACCAGCGAGTTCCCCGTAAACGATATTACGCCGATAGATTTGTTCGGCCATTGAGAATCGTTGAAATGATTGGTCAAGTTTCTATTCTCGCAGTTAACGATATCACCTAACGCAAAAAAGAATGATTAAAGATCCTAATTGTAGATTCAGATACATTGTACATTTTATGAGACGAAGACAGTTCTACGGTCAAATATTTAAATCACATAAATGTAACCGTCTGCTTGGACGTTATCTTTTAAAGCGTTGTTAGTGTTCCATAATCCTGTTCAAACATCTTCACAGTACCTGTACAATTGCAAACATCACACACACTCGGCAATTCGAGTACCGGTCCATTTTTTTTGGTCTCTTGCGCACTAATGTTCCTCGTAGTAGCAGTAGCGTTAACTATTTCCGATTTATTCTCGCAATTCACTGCCGAAAAGGCGATTATAAAAATAAGTAACAGTCGATCATCCATGTTTCACCGTGAGATCATCAACCGTAGCACCCGACACCGAGAACTGAAACGATTTTCTTGTATCAAGTCAACTATCCCCGATAAGAACACGATGATAAGATACCGCTGGCCGCCGTTATTCACCGTTCTAAGCAAGTAAATACGTTATCCTTTAGCAGTTAACTCCTTCTTTTTCTCTGTGATGCCGACGACATTGGAAAAATCACGATTTCGTTAATATAATCATCTGAATTTCTTTCTTCTTTAGGAACTCCTTAAAATACTTGTGCAGGGCATGTCCATAGCAATACTACAACCTCGAATATAGTAATTCTTTATGAAAAAATCAGTTAGGAATGTAAAGTATAATTACTTTTTATATCAGGTTTCATTGTTCGACCATTTGATTTGGAAAATTGGTAAAATAAAATTAATTCTTTTATTTTTCCTTTTACTTTTAGATAATATAATCTCTAAACTCAAATATGTAAACAATATTATATTACTTTACGTATAAGCTGAAATTATAAAAATAACGTCAGTATAGTACATACTAAAGAAAAATAAAATTTTGTTATATGTTCACATATCGTCGTTTTAGTTTCACATTTGTAGCCATACATTAAAATTCTTTACAAAAATAGTGAGTTCCTATAAAATGTGAATCTTCGACATTTTTGTCCAAAATTGAAAATCATTATATATAATTTTTCCACGCAAGCCTTCGGTTCAAATGTCGCGCGCTTATTTAAAATATACCTGAATACACAAGCAATCACGGTGGTGTCGGCATCTCGAGGTGTTCGGCAGTACCAACCAAGGCAAAACCTTCGCGAAAAGTATTGAATCGATGACGTCACAAAAGACGTGTCAGTGGAAGGAGTAGACGGGGGATTGTGGAGAAGCATGTTGAAAAATGTCCGATTACTTGAATTTATCGTGCGACGTGAACAGTGGTAAACAGACGCGTCTGTGTTGAACGCAACAGTGAACAGTAGTACCAGTGTCGATACGTGAGTATCGTCGGCTCTTGCAGTGTATCACGTGGACGAAAAAGTACGATCGGTCTCGAACGAGTCGGACACGCCGACCGAAATATTTTTTGAAACGTTAAAACCAGTGCTCGGTGTTGTTTTGCTCTTGCGGGATTTGCCTGGACCGGCCCCACGACACGGTAAGTCGATCGAAAATAGGCATCGGTTGGTGAACAGTGTCACTGAGACAGCTGTTCTCATGCACCATACTTTCATCGGTTAAGTCCGCCGTTCGACCGTGCACCTGCGAGTTTGTGAGGTTAGGTTCGTTTGTTCGTTCTTGGTGCGCCGATACATGCGAAAAACTTGTTTTGTGCGCAATGCCCCCAGTGAACGCCCATTCCTCGCGGTCTGCCTTGACAGAATTGCGGATTGATACGATCGATATTGTCAAGGGTCTTCTGAGAGCAACTTTTCTAGATGACATTATGCGCACCAGGCGATCCATGTTCATCCCGTCTTCACGCTCCTTTGCCTGTATTGTTGTATTTCCCGAGGAATATATCTTTCTCCTTTAATCGTATCACCGTTTTTCATTTGAAGCATTACTCTTTTGCAACTATGTGGATCGCACGCGATCGCCAGTTTTGCTTCGAAAATAGTTTCATTCAGAATTATGTTGCATAATCGGACTATGTATTTTATGACGCTGGCAAAGCGTTCTCTCAAGTCCAAAAAGCTGTTATTACAGGGAGAAGACTAACCCTCAACGCGCACATGCGTTTGATCGATTTTTATGCTACATTGTATCCGCCGAAAGAACATAACCAATGCGTGATGGTATTCATTATTTATGTAGTTCTGATTTCGAAAAGTGTATAATATACAGTTCAGATATCTTAGATCAGTTGTGTCATTTTTATTTGAGATTTAAGAATTTAGTATTCGAATTGTTCATTATTTTCCAAATATTGTTTGCCTCGACGAATTCTTCATCCCGGAAATTACAGATTGCATATTTTCTTTCTTTTCGAACGAGTGTACAGAATTTCACGTTGTTTGTAATATTTTCTTCGCATCCATCATTACGAAGATAAATAGAATTCTCTTGTAACACGCATGATATAAAAAAAAAAGTATTTACGCGTGACGTGCACAACCGCTGCATAATCCTGATTCTTCTATATCATTTGACTTGTTTAATTTATCATGCATTATTTTATTTTAGATGAAAAATCCTGAACATAATATAATTTTCGATTTAAAAAATAATATGACGCTCTGTACATATATCATATAAATCGTAATATTACACAATATTAAATGTACTCTCGTGGATATATTGTAACATGACAAGACTCATATGTCTACTGTTTTAATACATCATTACCTCTGTGTTTGTTTTATTTATCATTTAACTTATTTTTCGAAGGATACTGACATAAATAATGTTCATATGCTATTTCGTTCTAATACTGTTACAATTTTTACTCGTGCATAAATAGGCGGGAATTTCAAATCACAAAACATTTAAGTTGTCATTTTAATCATGTAACTTTAGCGTATATTGTTATTCTTATAATTTAATAACTATCGTTGCATTATAACAAAAATTTACGATGCATATTCTATAAACAAAGTGTACAACGGACTAAGACCACTAAAAAAATTTAATATTGAACTGCTAACTCTTTGATATTTTAGTTAATTAACATAGTATTGGAAATCGCAATGTACTGTTTAAGTCAGTTGTTTGAACTCCAATTTAGAACGAAATAATTCGTGTTAAGCAAATTACGTCAAATGGTAAACGGGAAACTGCAATACAAGCGTGTTCACCCTGCATTGAGTGAATCGCCGTTTACATCGTGTCAGGAGAACCAGTTAAAATCGTTTAAAGAATTTGTTGCGGAAGAAAAAAAAGTGTCAAAAATACTGTAATAAGATGACATCATTATGCCATTATTCTTCTTAATATAAAAAATAAAATACAAAATTTTAATATTAAACACAAGTCGTTCTTGTAAATTGCCTAGTGACTTTTTCTTAATTGAAGAATTTGCATTTTGAAATTTACTACAAGCGTAACTTAAATTATATTTATGTATTGTTGCTTTTTTAAATTAATTTTCATGAAATTTTTATAATATAATAATTAAAGTCAGAATAAACTATCTATATTTGAAATATGATTTACTTTCAATTATTTTCTTTGAATTGATTATTGAATTGATGAATTATCATTTCTACAACAGTCTTAAAAATTGTTCAAAAGTAAAGGAAATCAGTGAATATCAAGAATTACTTTCAAAATTTGTATTGCATTAGTAAACAACGACAAAGAGGTAAACAAGCAGAAATTCCTTTCACGTAAGTATTCGTTTCAGGATTATCTTGAATTTTGATCTGAATTTACGATCAAATGTCAGTAAGAAATAATGAAAATTTAAATGCTACTAATTTCTTATGCGCATGAATTAGGTACGAGGTTTGACTTTTACGTCTTTGTCATCCATACTTCATAGTACGCATGCGTACACTTCTCATGAGTGTTTGTATTTCTTCATAAATTTGATTGTATATATTTCAATTTACGGCGAAATTATTGTATTCTTTCAATAATCTCTTAATTAGTAAGCACAAATTAAAATTTTACATATTGGTCAAGTATTAAGTGAAGGACAATAAGGTTCTGACAAAGTTTCAAAAGCTTGTAAGTAGAAAACGTACATGTCATTATCCATTAATTTGCAGTTAAAATTCTAATTAAAAAGGAAAGTTAACTGTTTGCATACAAACGACTATAACATTGCCCAAACAGTTGTTGAACGAAACGAATATTATACATATACTTCCAATACAATTTCTTAAAAATTATTACTGGCAGACCAGTTGTTAGAAAATCGTAATTTGCTTAGAGGTTTTACTTTAACGGAACGTGCACTGTCTGACTCGAAAGAATTGGCGAGACAAACTCGAATTTCCCGCAGAAATTTTATCGAGCACCCTATAGGTAGAGCGTTGCGCAGCAGTGAGGCATCGGCGCCGTCGGCAGCGGTGGCCTCTTGTAGTTTTTGCTACGCCCTCTTCGCATGAAAATGATTCTTCCCCGGCGTGGTGTGGTAGTAGGGATCGTCGACCATTGGTTATCGAACGTTTGACTGACAGTTCGACTATCTCGTGTCGGAACAGCGATGAAAGGGAGAAAGAAAAACAGCTTCTGGCCTCGCATTAACGCCTGCCGACGATCTGGTGCACTTCTCTAACTCGAGTCTCTTTTCTTCGTCGGTTTGTTGGCCCAACACGACGCCGGCTTAATACGCCGATGACTGACAGGTAGTAAACAACTCTGCTCGCCCACCGGGATACCATCTTCGTCATAATTAACTCTTTCGGTGCCAGGCCGGTATGTACGCGCGTCAAAAGTGTTTCTTGCAGTTCAATATTTTCGCTCGACTTATTTGCACGATCCTGATATATGTATATGTGTATATATATGTATGTGTGTGTGTGTGT